CAGCTATGAAAGACAAAATAAAACATAGAAATCATAATACATGGGAAATCACAAATCCACACAATAATATTAACATCATTAGAACACAATTTGTCTATAAAATAAAGCAATACACTGACAATAGTATAGAAAAATATAAAGCACAATTAGTAGTTCAAGGAAACTATCAGATTGACAGCCTTAACTATTGTACAGATGATTTATTTGCTCCTACTGCTAGACTATCTATAGTGTGATTAATATTAGTATGGGTGGCATCTAATAATTATGAAATACATTAGATAGATATAAAATCAGCATATCTGTATGGACAATTGACAGAAGACAAAGAAATATATGTTAAACCTCCTCCAGGTAACTTAATAGATGGATTACAGAATGGACAAATATTATGATTACAAAAAGCACTATACAGATTAAAACAAGCTGGTAGAAGATGGTATAAAACACTATCTAATATACTACTTAAATACAGATTAACAAAATCTGAACATGATAATGCTGTATTCTTTGTAAAGAAGAAAGAAATAACTGTAACCATATTATTTGTACATGTCAACAATATTACTATCACAGTAATGAATAATAATACTATTACAATGATAAAACAATCTATTGTATGTCATTTACAATATACAGATGGTGGTAAATTACACTGGCTACTTAGTATAGAGATTCAATGTGACAGAGAGCATAGATTCATCAGGATGTGTCAGACACATTATATTAATAGTATAATAGAATGTTACAAACTTACAAACAAACAAAGTGTACAAACACCTATACAGCCTGGTACACAATTAAAAACAGTATTGTAAACTGATAACAATAGAAAACAAATGTCTAATATACTATACATAAACATGGTTAGCACACTTAGATACATTACAGACTGTACATAGTCAGATATAGCATTTGTAACAAATTAGTTAGCTAAATACCTTAATGACCCTGGTATGGAGCATTATCTGGCACTTAAACATTGTTACATGTACTTAAAAACTATGAACAATGTCTGGCTCTAACTTGGCAGCACAAATCAATCAATATTGAACAGATATACAGACACAGACAGTATGATGCAAGAAGGGCATCATACAATATCAGGATATACATTTTACTTGAGTGATTCATTAGTTTTGTGGTCAAGTAAAAGACAAACACTAGTAGCAAATTCAATGTATGAAGCTGAATTAATAGCTCTTGCAAGAGGAACACAAGAAGCAATTGTACTTACTCATTTAGCTGAAGAGATTCTGCAGGTCTCTGATACACTAATTAATATCTATTATGATAACAATGCTGTTATACAAACAGTTACATTAGACAAACTCAAATATTCAGAATAAACAAAGCATTTAGATCATAAGAAAGATTTTATTAAATGCTACATTAAGTTAGAGTACATAAATGTAAAATACATACAGACAAACAATCAATGAGCAGATATATTAACTAAAGCACTACATGTACTACAAGTCAAACATCTTACCAGTTTACTCAGACTAGTAAGAGTTTGAAGGGGAGTATAATGAGATGATTAGTTCATCAACAGACAAACCACAAGATGATGACTTCATAATGTCTCAGTTAGAATACATACAATATAAGGATGAGAGACACTGAGTGATCAATCATCACCTCACCCCTTGTCTATGTGTGCTCCCCTTAAGTTTTCCCTCTTAACATATAGAGTATATAGAGTGAGCCTAAGAGTACAGGACTACCTAGAGTAGACAAGATCAAGACTACAGGACCAGTCTGATCTTGTACATGTATATATACTAAACTACACAAGAGTACTCAGGGAACAATGAGCCACAAAGAATAAAGAATGAGAGGGTCAAAGATAAGCAAACAAAGAATGAAGAGATAGACAAAGGATAAGAGACCTTAGAATGAACAAAGAATGAAGGGGTGGACAAAGGAAAGGAGTAATAAGGTAGAGAGGGGTAACAGTAAGAGTCACAAGGCAAATCAGTCTGAATTTAATCCATATACAGTACACCTGAGAGACAGAAGTCCTAAGTTCCAGTACAGAAGGGTGTATGTTGAGAGGGTAAGTACATGAGAGGCTTAGAGGGATCACACAAAGAGGGGGGACAGTAGACTTGGCTCTTGTGTTAGTATCATTGTCTGTAGATTAGGTAGCTATATATACTATGTAGGTATGTCTCAGATGTAGAATGTATGATAGAATGTATTCTATCATTGCTCATCATCACTCATAATGTAGTTTATATCATCTGAGACATACTCTTGTGTAGTCTCATCTTAACACTCCCCTTCAAACTCTTACTAGGTCTAGTAGACTTGTAAGATGTTTGCTTTACAGTATGTATTAATGTTTTAATCATTATAGCTGTATTATATGTTTGTTCATTTGTATCACATGTTTGTAAATTGATGTAGTGAATAATAATATTATTTGCATTATAGTAATACATTGTCTGTTCCATATACTGTCTGTTCCAAATGTCATCCACTTTGTGTTAAGTTTGTCCAATGTTATGTTAATTAAATATATTCAATTAGTATTCAACACACTGTGTTTTATGTCTCATTTACTAGTATAGCACAATGTATCTAGTATATAAGGGTGTACATATATGTGCATCTAATCAAGTGCTATTCCAATCTCCCTAACCTAACAGGTTATAAGCCTTACAGGCTTGTGAATAGTACTATCAACACAAACAACACTATAAACACAACCTCTACCTCAGACATCTACCCCCCCTCCTAGTACTAGTGCTCCACCTACAAACACAATGCCTCTGACAATAGTACAGTCTATGTTAACATTTGAGTCAACAAAGATTGATAATGATTAGCTTACTATGTTCTTTAAAGACATAAAGAAGCTTACAGGTACAAAGAACTATAAGATATAGTAACTACACATTACAAATGCACTAGCAGTAATACTGCTCAGTGACCATCTTACAAATGATCCCCCTAGTACAGATGCAGACAGTATACACACAGGGAAAATATTGTATCATTTCATAATAAAGACAATATCAGATACAGTGTATACTAATGTTACAATGTACAACACAATGAAAGACCTCATACAGGCACTAGCTGATCAATACAATGCACAAACCATGTTGACTCACACAGTCAATATATTAGTACTGTTTACAGCTAGAGGACACGTTTTACAGTTTGACAAGACACTAGACCAAATAGAGCAAGTCTATGTGTAACTGGTAGCTTACAGTAAAGTACCAGATAATAATACTTATGTCTCAGCAATAAATCTCACTACTCTAAGAGAGTACAAGTGGGTTGCAACAATGATCAATAGACAGAACACACATTACAATAGCCTACCTACAGTTACTACAGCTCAACATCAGGTGTTCACACTGGCAGAATTAATTCATAAATTATACAACACATTTACTGAGTAGCAAACACAGAACCACCAGAACAAACATAGTATGCTAAATAAAACACCAAATAATCATACTCTATCCCTAGGGCCTACACAAGGTCAAACAAGAGGACAAGGACACAGTAGAGGCAACATAAAGCCTTACAAGACAACAAAATGTTACAATTGTAACAAATACAGACATATGTCCAAAGAGTGCTACAGTCTAGTAACAGACACTATGAAGGAAGCATGAAACAAACAAACAAACACAATGATGAACACATCCACATTACAACAACTTACAGCTCAAACAATGAGCATTATACTAACAAACTATACAATGATAGAAAAGATTGACAAGATTCTCAATATCAGCTGTACAAAGTCCACTACAGAATCTACACTATTAGACATAAACATGCATGACAAACAGCCTGATAAGATGATTGACAAATTCCTTAACAACTATAACTCAGACATATGTATTAATACATGTTCTTACAGAACAACAAAACTTACATATTGTATTAACATACTTGATTCAGGTGCTAATATCCACACTACACCCTATCTCTTTCAATTAATGAATGTATGATATACAAACCCTATACACATTACAATTGCAAACAAAACAATAATCATACTTGGACAAAGTAGAGTAATGATAATTAAAATACAACAAGATGCAAACAACAAACACAGAACAAATGAAACAAATGTAAGTAGTATCATGCTACATAATGTATACTATTGTCCAAATCTAAACTTCACATTGATCAGTGAAGCACTATTATGTAAAGCAGGATATATGTTAATTAAATCAAATACTATGTGTAATATTTATTTCCCTACTAATACAAAGATTGGTGAAATACAAATGCAAAATAAACTATATATGATAGTATTGCATCATCATTACCAACAGAATGTTAACACAATAACAATTGTCAAACTACACAGACGAATGGGTTATACAAATTTCAAGTACTTACACAAACTCATACACAATCATCCTGAAATTATGCAACAAAAGGTTGTGGATGATAGAAATGCAAAGTGTAATGACTGTATACATAGGGTCCAGCACCTATACAAGCATACAGCAAATACAAATACATCCTTACAATTGTTGATGACACTACACAATGGGCAGATATGATACTCATGCATTTACTGAATACGTCAAATACACTATGAAACTATTTACACAATACAGTACAAAAGTAAAAACACTATAAAGTAATAATGATACTGTCTTCCTAAGTAATGACTTTACAGTATACATAGAAAGTCAAGGAACTATACAACAATTAATAGTACATAATACTCTACAACAAAACAGAGTTACAGAATGTATACACAAAACAATCTTTAACAGAGTACAAACGTGTCTATTAACATCTAAACTACCTACAAAATTATGGGTATATACTGCACAATACTAAACATTTATTCATAATCAAACACTATGTACTGTAATAAATTTTACAACACCATATTACAAACAGTTTAACAAACAATACACTATTGATAACATATGAGAATTCAGAGCATATTGTGTTATACAGAACGAAAATATGTACAAACTAGAGCCTAGAGGTAAATACACACAATAGTTAGGCAACAATAACAAAAGTAAAGGCCATATAACATGGTACAATAATAAAATAACAGTCAAACAAAACCTACAATTCATAGATGTACAATCATCTAGAATTGAAGGGGAGAATAATAATAATACAAATGGAACAAACAGAATAAACAGAACAAATAACAAGAATAATAATAATACAAACAGAACAAACAGAACAAACAGAACAAACAGAACAAATAATGATAATAATAATAAAACAAACAGAACAAACAGAACAAATAATAACAATAACAATAACAAGTTACAACAATCAACTTGTGAACAACAAGTAACAAAATATGCTAGAGGATTGAACTACAATGATAAAACAAACCTAGCAATATATCTTACAGAATTTAACAAATCACTCAACAAGATATACAACAATCCAACAATGTATTATAACACTATAACAAGCAAAGCCAAAGAGCATTGGATCAGAGCAATGAATGACAAAATAAACACACTACAATCATACAACACATAGGAATATACATACCCACCAATAGACACAAATATAATTGGAACATGATTTGTCTACAAACTCAAGAGGTTAGCTAACAGCAACATAGACAAATACAAAGCATGACTAGTAATACAGGGTTATGCCCAGAAAGACAGAATAGACTTCTATTCAGACAATTTATTTGCCCCAGTTATGAAATTGACAACAGTATGCTTATTATTAAGCTGGGCAGTATCTAAGGACTATAAAATACATTAAATCAATGTGAAGTCTGCATATCTTTACAGAGAGCTAAACAAAGACAAACATATTTATATGAGACCACCACCAGGTAAATTACTAAATGATATCAAACCTGGTCAAGTGCTAAAGCTAAATAAAGCACTATACAGACTAAAACAAGTAGGACAATGATGGTATAAGAAAATTACAGATATACTGTACAAAATAGGATTGCAACAAGCAAACTATGACAACACTGTATTCTATAAGAAAAGGCATAACAAAACAATATTAATCACATTCATACACATCAACAATATTACTATAATTGGTGAAAACGTTATCATAATAGGTGTATTCAAAGAAGTGTTAAAACAATACATTACATTTACAGATGGAAACAAAATACACTAGCTTCTAGGAATTGAAATCCAAAGAAATAGACAATGGAGAACAATCTGCATACAGTAAAGACACTATATCTAAAGCATAATACAATACTTTAAGCTTGAGAACAAAAAACTGCTACAAACTCCTATAATGCCTGGGACATACTTAACAAGTATGAATGATACAATTGACAACAAATGATTTATGCAGACAATACTGTACATGAGTATGGTAGGATCATTACACTACACAGTAGATTGTACTCAGCTAGACATTGTATACATTACAGGCCAATTAGTACACTATCTACAACAACCAAATATGGGCTACTACAAAGCAGCAAAACATTGCTTCCAGCACCTAAAAGGAACTACAAACTACTAGCTTCATCTTAGAGGCACAAATACACTGACTATACAAGAGTACTGTGATACTGACAGACAAATGACAGAAGGACACTAATCAATTAATGGATACATATTCCAGCTGGGAAAGCAAACAATATCTTGGTCAAGCAAACAACAGAACCTGGTACCACTATTGGCTTACAAAGCAGAGTTGCAAGTGCTGGCATACACAACTCAAGGGGCCATTTGGCTCAAACAACTTGCTGAGGAAGTACTGTAGACAGAATCAGCACCCATTACAGTCTATTGTAACAATCAGGGAGCAATACACACTGTCAAATCTGAGGAGATCACTTTCAATGCTTGAATGAAACACCTTGATTTGTGAAAGGACTTTGTCTACTGTTACATTCAGAACAACTACATCAACATATGTTATGTTCAAACACAGAACCAACTTGCAGACATCCTTATGAAAGCACTTTATGTCCCTCAAATCAAGCACCTAATAGAACTTATAGGTCTTCAACATTAATGACAGAATATTAGGGCTTAAAGGGGAGTATTCAACACACTGTGTTTTACATCTCATTTACTAGTATAGTACAATGTATCTAGTATATAAGGGTGTGCATATATGTGTATCTAATCAAGTGCCATTCCAATCTCCCCAACCTAACAATTAGTTTGTTTGTTTGTAGTATACTGTTCAATAACAGTATCATTATTACAATAGATTGTTTGTAAATGTTATTAAATAATTTGTAAATGCTTCAGAGACCTGCAGAATCTTGTTAGCATGTATGGGTACATATATGTGCATATTTAAATCATAAATACAATTGCTCGTTTTGTTTTATCATTTGTTATTCGATTGTATTGTTTGTTATTAAGTTTGTTCAAGTATTACTAGTAATTTCCTTTTACTTCACTGTGAAACTAATGAATCATACTAGTAAAATGTATATTCAGTATTACAATGATATCCTTCTTTAATCATTACTGTTCACATTTGTCTACATTTGTATATGCATTAAGCACTCAGTAATAGCTGATTTATGCCTTCAGATTGAAGCTTGTATTGTTTGTAAATCATATTATGAATAATTAATATTATAATTGCCAGATTGCTTCATTCTGAGGTTGGTGAGGTTTTATGCTAACTTTTATTTGTTGCATAAGTGTTATATCTGGTCATGTGCAGCTCACTATGTGTCTAGGTGTGTTATATATGTTGTATCTGTATGTATTGTTTGCTTGTATTGCTTTACATTATTGTTTATAATTGTATATCAATTTATTAATGTTGTATTTGTTAATGAATTGTTTGTGACACATCCTGAGTAACTATGCAATCTGTTGCATTATTTCTTCAATAGCTAACAGTTGTAAATCATAAGTATTGTACATTCATGTTATTTGTTATTATAACAATGTTATTATGAATTGTTGCAATTGTAGTATTACATATGTATGTATATGTTATAGCTATTGTTCTTTACTTTTCCATTTGTAAAGAATAGTACATTGTAACACAATCCACATATAAGTGATATATCAGATTATGTTTACTATAGTTGTCTCCTAGTGTACTTTAGTTCATATATTGCTATACACAGTTGTAGTATTTGTTCAACATTGTATTTGTTAATTGGTTTACTAGGTAGAATGTTTTATGTATTGGTTTTGTTTATTTCATTTGAATCATTGTATAGATATACCTATTAGTATCTATCTGATGTATTTTCATAGTATTATAATACTGTTCACACTTGTATTAATTGCATGGTGAGAGTAAATGAATTGTTTGTACAAGAATTGATTTGATAGTATTATTTCATTGTGTGTATACACTCCATACTTGTTTGCATAGTTATTATCTGTGTATTGTTTGATTGTAGTTACAAATCATATATCAATTATGTTTGTATTATCATATGGATATATTATTCTTTCTTTTATATGTGTTCCAAGGTATTGTTTTTGTTATTTGTCAGGTTTATTGTTTGTAGATAGATGAGTTACTTTGTTATATGACATGATATTTGTTTGTATGTTATTTATTTTTGTGTTAAACATTGTTAAGTTAATTATATT